TTTGCACCCACAAATGTGGTCTTGACTAGTGCAGGTAGAGGAATTTAGATTCTGTGCTGAAGTTGAAGTTTCACTTCTGCTGTCTTATGGAAAGAGTTCAACACGTTAAATATGTGTTATGATAATCAATTACTTTAAGTAAATAGTACTCACAGCAGTTGAGTGGTCCAGTTCAATTGTTATGTTGTTTACAGGTCCATTGTTTGAACATATTTTTTTATAGATGGATAAACTTGTAGCCAGCATTTTAAGTGTACGGCTTTATATGGCAAAGTTTTCGATAACATATTTGAGTGGCTGATCATTCACTTTTCAATACAATTTTATAATAGCAGTATAGTAAGAAGTGTGTCAGCCAGATAAGAGTAGTGAAGTAAAATGAATGTTAAATAATAATGGGGTAGAAATATGATGCAGATTTTTAAGTAGGCTACTTGTTTACTTACTTGAGAAAGCAGTAGGACTACTTAGTTTGGCTTTATTCATCCACCGCTCATCTACTTAAGACAAATCCCTGAAAGAAAAGTTATAGGCCATATAGACTTAATTCTAATGTGGTTGACTTCTCACTTCTGATAAACTTCTTAGGCCCACATAGAAAATGAAGAGTTTTACATGCCTACTCCACATTTTAAAGGTCATATGCCTACAGGTTGCTATCTCACTGTGTGTCAGAAGAGTAGAGGATAGGTACATTTCTGGATAACGTGCTGACTTAATGTGACTTCGATCGTTGTTTTTCTGTGACGCGTGTCACACAATTGGGTAACTCCTGTGATCATCGGTGCAGGTCTTGCTTTGTTGCTGCCGTCATGCTGAATAAACTGCTGACCCCGCGGGCTCAGTCTAATAAAGCCCTGCAACAGCAGCAGATACGACCCCCCCCCTGTAGAGACTTGATCTCAGGCATCGCGACATTTCCTTCCACCTCGGCAGAGACGTTTGGCTGTGCGTCTATTCTCGCGATGAAAGAGGCGGAGGCTATCGTTCATTATTTACAAGGTGACGTGAGATGAGGAGATTTAATTTCTGCAACTCAGCAAAGTCCACTCAGTGCGCGAGACTTATTAGCCTACTGTCCCTTCCCAAGAGTTCATCAATTAGCCTCCTAGCACAGATAACATTGACTTAATGAAGCGTTACCTTTAACTAGAATATTACTTCCCTTTTCCCAATTAATGAGGCTGTTAATTGTCCTAATTTGCGTGTGGAACCCCGGCATTAAGATTGCTTCTTTGCTCGGTTGAAGCACCTCCGGAGCTCCGGGTGTGTGCGGATAATTACAGAGTCACTGCTCCCAACATCAAGGGGTTCACTGTTCCTGGTGAACGCTTCTATGGAGAAACATGGAAATGCGCTATTGTTACTATATTACCGAGTCTTTCATTAAAACACAAGAAGGATAACGGTAAAAAAATAATAAAATAAAAAGTCACTTACTGTAGCTCATAGATCACTCCGGACCTAGATGGTGAGGAAGGCAATCCTTCTCAGTGTGTCATTGTAGAGTTAAACCCATAGAGCTGCTACTGTTAGCAGTGAATTAATCATAGGTTCAAATCCTTTTAAAAGTGGGCTTAGGTTGGGATGGGTGGGTTACAAGGAATTACTAACGTACAATTAACCATTTATTTTTATTTATTTTTTACTTTTTTGCATGTATGTTAAATTGAAAATTGAAACCAAATGTGATAATGCCGACTGATTATTCGGCTGTTTGCTCTTTCCAAGGCAATGTTTGAGGGTTGTAAATCAAACCTTTTGGCTGTGCATTAATGCAGCTCCTTAAAAAAATATGACAGGAATCTTCCAGGAAATATTGACCATTGATTATGAGTAAAATTCAGATTGGACCCAATCAGTACACGTCCAGTGAATTCAAAGTGACTCCCAGATTAATCTATAGGCTAACATATACTTTCAATAAGTGAATAGTAAATACACTCGTGATCCCTCTACAAGTAGGCCTACTGCAAAATTATTTCTGACTCATAGACTGTGTTCTGACCCCCACCCCTTCCCCAAACGGAACTCACTAGAGAGTTTGTACACAACTCCAGAGCCTTAAAATTATTGTTATTCTTTAAGGATGTATTGCGGCTCTTATGAGGTGTAGTAACATCTTTAAAAGGCGAACAAAGAAACAGGGACACATTATGTCAAACTTAAGCCTCAGAAATAGAGTTGAATTAATTATAGATTGCTTGGGGCCATGGTTCCCCGACAGCAGTTCCCTGGGGATGACAGAGGAGGTTTTATTAAGGCTTCCCGTGAAATGAGGACCACTTTAATTTCACCATTAGGCCTGCTTCATTTACTAGAAATTAGAGCAATGAGACCATGTATTATTAGAACTATTGTCTGCACTTTCACTTTCCATTTACAGAACAGGAGTATAGGAAAATGGGTTTAACAATATTTATTTTACACCTAGCAGTACCTTTTGGTTGAAAGTTATTTAGACATTTGTGGGTTAATGACAGTCACTGTAAAAACTATTAGTCATGGTAATTTGTGATTGTAGATTTAACAGAGTTTTGCTAGAAAGTGGCCCATGGGTGTGGATTTATGCGCAATTCAGCAATATTTCCCAGGTGATTTGGTAAACCTGCCTACCTGTGCAAGAGTCAAGGCAAATCGTTCTGCTACACTGTTGTCTAATTTATGTGTAGCAGGTTGTCATATCAATGCATGAAATTGAATCGATTACAAAGATAGAGCCTATCAGCTCCCATGTCAAGTTAAATTTATGTAGATGTGCCCAGGTGGAACTCTCATTTTTTCCTGACATTAATAAGGGGTTTATAATTAATTTGAATATCTTACCAATGTAATGTTCAGAACTGTTAACCACACATCTCTGTACATTCCAATTGGCTTCAACTTCTTCAACCACAGTACCTGAACTCGTCATGAATTTGCAATTTGCAACAAGTAAAGGTGCAACAACTTCCTGGAATAACTTTCATATGAACTGACAATGCAATGAAAGTTATTCCAGGAAGTTGTTGCACCTTTACTTGTTGCAAATTGCAAATTCATTGTCAGTTCATATTTCTTGGGTCAACATCTTTTTTCTTTTTGTGGTTTCTTTATTATTTTTCTCATTTATAGTTCATATTGTGTACATTTATAACTGTTATGTATTGTAACATTTGTGAAAGTCTTTCGATTAAATGGTTGGCTATTATTTGGACAAATATAATGCAGACTAAATGGGGGTATTATTGCATTGTGAGACACAGCTCTTTAATACTTTTTCCATTCCAGTTACTCACTCTCAGTTTACTCTTTCATATTGCCGGAGGAGGGAATTTTGAATAAATTTGGGCCCCGCTTGGAGCGGCACTAAGAGTTCATAATAACTCGTGAGTTGACAGTCATGATGTCTCCCCCTCCTCCTCCTCCTCCCTGCATGTCTGGTGGGACACATCAGTCCCTCTATTGCAAGAGGTCACTCAAGTTGACTTTAGAAATGTCCCTCACACCTCCTTGGACTCCGCTGCCACTCCCCCGCTCGCGCCCACACCAGATGGGAAGTGTGCGGAATTTTTTTTTAAGCCCGCGCGCAGGTCTGCAGGCTGTTGCACTGGAAGAGGGGCTGAAGGAATGAAATATTCATGTGGGCCAAACAAGAATGGACACCCCGGGACGGAGAGTGTGCCGATTTATTCAACTAAGACCAGGCCTCATTAAACTGCTGGCGGCAAGGCAGGTCATGGTGATTTTCTTTACCAGAGCTCGAACATCGACTGTAACACACAGAAACGCACACAGTGAGAGGAGAGAGAGAGAGAGAGAGAGAGAGAGAGAGAGAGGGGTCCACTGAATGCCAAATTTGTCCAAACCACCATCCTAACTAACAACCTCTCAGCTCTCCCTCCGGACAGTTGTGATGTGTTGTTGTGGAGGCTCCTCTGGTGTAATTGATGACCTAATGAGTGATTAGGTCTCGTGTCAGAGCAGTCAGTGTCAGCGTGGGGGCTGAGTTGTCGCTGCGCGCGGCATATGGGAGACGTGGTGGGTGACACTGGTTGTGACAGAGGTGTATAGCTTGAGTGAGGTGCCAGGGGACAACAGCTGATAGGCACAGGGGCCACGTGACTAATCAAAATTAAGATAATTAATGAGACTGACTTTGGTCCCACATGAGATCATAAACGTATAGGCTCATTTTAAAATGTAACGGAACGCTTTGCATCTTTGTCTTAAAGTGAGCGGTAGAATTAAAGGCCTGTGTTTTGATCCTTGTTCCTCACTAAATCATTCATATACAGCCTGCAGACAACTTATCAGTTAGCATTGCTCTGTTATAGACAGGTGTGTCTCAGGCCTTGCCTTCCACCTGTCCGTTTTATTATTCCTCTGCAAATAATCCGCAAAAGATTGTCCAGCGTTTTACTGTTTGTTTGAGAACAAACCATGATGCTGCCATATCCCTCAAGACCCAATTAACGAGTCAGTTTCTTTGCCCATGAGAAAGATGTCCAAGCTCTTTTTCCATGGGCTGATGACGATGATGAAAGTCTGAAGCCTAGAATGTTTGTGCGTGAATACTGAGCACACACAACCACAGGAGTTAAGCGTTTAAATTAACATTAACCCCCTGCCCTCTGACAATAATGAAACTGATATCTTATAGAACACATTTAAATATCAATTCAGGGGGGGAAATATCAGGAAAAATCCAATGATCCAAGTGGATTCACAGTTGTAATCAAATATGATCAGTAAAGGCCAGACATGTGCAGTAAAACTGCTTCTTCCTGTAGCCTACATTTTTTAACAAAAGGCCAGCAGTCAAGCAGACCAAACTTTATGGGAAAGTAAGTTCATTGGATCACGTTTTCCTTTGCTTTCAAACATACAGTATAGCCTACGCCACGCTCTTAAATGATTAATTCTGTCGCCTCGCCCTCTGTGTGAGGATAATAACAAGGCCGTGATTGAGTTACAATGAACAATAGAAGAAAAGTCGAGCTTTGTCTAATTGTTCCTTGACAGGGTCAGAGGGGAGGTGCGATTGGCTGCTGCCTTCAGAGGCTGTCAGTGGTTCTTGTGGGTGACATCAAGGTGACTGAGGGGAGGCTGTATAAAATGTTCGCGCACTGGAAATCTCTCCAGAGAGGTTCAACCACAGTCTATAGAGACAACTTTCGCTGCCGCGCACTGGCCATACAGCGATGGCTGCAAAATCAGAGCTTTCAAGCTGGTCGGACTACCCGGAGGAGTTCACCCTGCTTCAGCAGCGGAACCTGGCCCATATCAACTCCAAAACCTGGATTCAGCTGCACCATGCGTGCTGCAGGACGCCTGGAGCCACCGACGCAGAACTCTCACTGGATAAACTTGTGCCAGTGCGTAAACTTCCCGAGTGCGCGTCTGCGTCAAGCATCACAGAGGCAGACTGTAACAGGGCAGCAGAGGGAGACCAGACGAGCCACTTTGGGCCCCAGAAACACAGGCGCGTCGCAGCCAACGCCCGGGAGAGGAGGAGGATGCACGGCCTGAATAAAGCCTTTGACGAGCTAAGGAGTGTCATCCCCTCTTTGGAGAACGAGAGAAAGTTGTCCAAGTATGACACACTGCAAATGGCGCAGATCTACATCACTGAGCTGTCGGAACTCCTGTCAGGTGTGGTGCATCCGGAGTGCAGGAGTCCGCGTCCGGTATCCGCAGACAAGACCTGCAGGATGAGTTTGATCCACACCCTGCTGCCAGCAGGTACCGCGCAGCCTCCAATCCAAATGACCGGAGACCAGCGGGACACCTGCGCCTCGATCAGCCACCTTTTAATTCTCGGACCTACATCTGACATGGGGTCAAATAAATCAACGAGCTCTTCGAATAGCAGTGATGGGGAATCTTCACAGCTGAGTGACTTGGAGGAGAGTCAGTGCGGCAGACAGTGACAGAAAACCACGGACTTGTCTTAGACTTTTTACGACAGTAACAGTGATAGAAAAAAACCGAGAACCAAAACATTAGGTCATGTTGATCATGTGAGGAAGTCGAACATCTATAGACATTGTTAATAGTCTGGATGATGTACTGCCAAATGTTAAAAGCAGGTAAACTCAAAAATTGAGTTGTTTTTTTTTTCATCTCAGGGCCATGATGAACTCAGAGGCCTTTTTAATGCACTTTATGGCCTGATCAGACATTCCCAGTGTCATTAGTGAAATGTGTCTAAATTAAAAGCAGTTATTTTCATATTTATGTATAGATATTTTAAGAGGATTGTTTTGCTACAATAAAGATACTTGAAACACGAGTGTGCACTTAAAGTTGTCTTTCTATATTGCATTCACACATTTGTTTCTTTTCTTTTCCAAATGCCTAACAAAAGGGGGAGGGGGAAGGGGGGGGGGAAGGGGGGGCATAAATGAGAAGAAGCTGGTTTGCGATTTACAGAACGTAATTTTGAAAGATTTATTTCCAAAATGATTTACATGATGAAACAACCAGGTTTTCTTTCACTTTATCAACTATAAGACAATGTCTCATTTAATATCATTCAGCACACGAAGCCCATGTAGAATCCAGCAGTGAAGATCATCACTCATTGGACCCTTACTGGTCACAGAATAAACTTAATCTATAGTGAGCCTTTTTTTTTCCCTGATCTTTTTTACTTAAGATCTTTACTTAAGTAGCCCAACTATAACAAAACCACAAAGGTCACAAATGTGTTAGAAATAAAAGCCCTGCTCTCATATTAAAGTACACAAGTATAAATATTAAACTTAAAGGTACTCACTATGTAGAATGGTCTACTTCTGAATTATATAAAACAATAGTTTGATTATATATCTTAGAATTAGTGATGCATGAATGTGTAATATTTATAAATATTGCTGCAGGTATGTGGCTTATTTTGGTTGCATTATGTACTCCTGTGAAGCTTAGTCCATAAAAAGACATCATATTTCATCATGTGTTGGTAAATAACCTGACTTTAGTGGGTTGAATGGGTTCTAACTAAAGCTTTCACTAAAATTGAAGTTGGGTAATAAAGTACAAGGTCTCCAAAACAGAAAATAATTACAGTGCTTCATTATAGTCCATCACACTCTACTGTTACCCACACATCTGCAAGCCAAAATCTGATGCCTAATGCTCCCACCAGAGGGGATTTAAACAAAATAAAGAAACTAATTAAGCTTTAATACAGTTTATAACAGTTAAAACTGCTCCCTCTAGGCTGCCTGTTTAGTAATAGCCTATTGAGAAAATGTGGCCGCTCCGGGGGGAAGAGGGGGCTGGAACTTTGCCAGGTCCTTGGAAATGATTTTTGCCAGCCTGTGTTTAAAGCTGCTGAGGGGCTCTGAGGGGGCAACAAGGCTGGAGGAGCTGATGGCCTCCTCTGTCTCCGTCGTTTCATCCACCGGCTGCGTCGGTGCATTGTAGCCTGGCTGGTTGTTCGCAGGGGGCTGACGCTGGTATCGGGGCTTGGGTAGGACGAAGGGCACAGACTGCAGGGGAGGGCAGGGAGGAGGCAGGGTAACAGGCGTAGAGAGTGAAGAGAAGGGCTGCAGCCGGGGATTTGAAGGAGGATCAACTTTTTTCACTTCAGAATAGATAGACTCTGAATCTTCTAGCTCAGGTTTGGACGGCTCCTTTCCCATCAAGGGAGGTGTAGCTCTCATAAGGTTGCAATAAATGTTCTGCCCCAGGACACTATTCAGGTTTAACGAATCTAGAGAATGACACCGCTCATCATCATCTTCCTCTCCCACAGACTCTTTGCTATTATAGAAATAAGGTTTTAAAAGAGATAGTTGCTTCAGTTTAATTTTGGAGGTGTCGTTAATAGTCGAGTAGTGGGCTGCAGACTCATCCTCTTCATCAGCAAAACTATTTGCAGGACTTTGGACAGGAGGAACACTGGGCAGGTTGGTTCTGGTTGGTAGGACAATAGGAGACTGGTCAGATAATGATCTTCTATGACCACTGAGTTGCTGGACAGAGGGACCCTTCTCCACAGTGCACTGCTTTAATATAGCTTGGAAGATTTGCGGCCCATGCCTGGACAGGAAGATGAACAGTCCTTCACCTGACTCGCAGCGACGGCCAGCTTCAATGCTGAATCCCCCCTGCAACAACATCCAATAAATCATTTTAAATGGCACTGGTTGGCATTTTCATACAGACATGCACTTTCCTGCTGGAAGTTAGATAGAAAGATTGTTACTTCTGTAGTGTCTGAATGAAGTCATGACTAACATGTTAGTTAGTTTAGTACAAAGACTAAAAATAGGGACAATTTAGCTGGATTCAGCACGTATGTAGACCTCACAAATGTAATTCAAGAGGCAATATCACACAGTGCTGTTATACTGGATATTAGACAATCGCAGCCTTGCTGATATTCAGTACAGCATGATTTTTTACTATATTAGTGAGCATTATTGATCCTGTTATCTTGAAACTCTATTTCTTCTTCTACTATTTTCTTCTGCTACTCTGTGTATGTCTATATGTTAGGTGTGTGTAGATGTGTAGCTGTACCAGAAGTTGTTCATCACTGTTCTTAATTGTTACATATTATTATTTGTAGTTATTTACTATGTATGGAATTTCATAAATAATTAACTGAACATGCTTTACTGATGAATGAATGTTCTTTGATAGTCTGTTACTGCGTCAGAGCACTGTGAAGTCCAAGGCCAATTTCCCGCCAATTTCCCATTGGGTAAATCAAGTTCATCTTATCTTATCTTACATGTTTTGTTTAACTTGTGAGAATGTATCCCCATCTGAGGTAGTAAGTTTGCTAGATTAAAGGTGGCCTCTTTTTTTAACATTTGGCCACTAGGAATGATATGAGAAGAGCATTTGTCTAAAATGAATAAATGTATACATGTTGATGTTTTCCTGTTTGAATTACAAGTTACAATTCTCTTAGCAGACGCTTTTATCGAAAGCGATGTACAGCACTAAGTACAACACTAATCCATTCATACACCGCCACTGAAGAAGCGGGAGCAATGCGGGGTTGAGTGTCTTGCCCAGACACATCGGACATGTTGCTCAGCTGGGTATCGAATCGTAAACCTTCCGGTTGAGGGACCAGCCGCCCAAAAGAATTAGATGGAATTACAAAAAAAACTTACCTCTACTTGTCCAAATTTTCGTAACAGGGTATAAGGCCAGCAATAGATGATGTGACCAGTATCCATGGCCAGCAGTATCACAGCCTCTTTTTCTGGGGACACTAGATACATCCCAGTCAGCTGGCATCTCCTGGATGCCTCTGTGCTCTGGACAGTCACTTGGTACTGGTTTGGAGGAGAGGCCATATCTAAACATTTGTAGACATGAAAATAAGTATTAATAATGACACAGCATACTGAGGTTACAGCACTTTGACTCAGCATGGAAGAATCCTACTAGATTTTCCATTTGACGCAATATATTAGCAGAGGGAATAAATGTGCAGCAGATACATTATCGTGCAGTAAAAGACTGGTTTGAAATTGGTTGTCTTCAATCTCTCCGTGTGACTGGCTGCCCCTGGATTGTTCAGCAGTAGTGTAATCCATTAGAAAATAAAAAGAAATACATTTGTGTAAGCCACAGCTTGCTGACAGTAATACATTCTGGCAGTCCTGTTTGCATTAATGAGTGGCTTTAGCTACTGCTCACATACTCAGTTTCTGCTGATCTGTCCACTTTATGATGCTATGACTATTACTGCTATGAATCCAAACCTCACTGCAAGTTCCTCTCTGGTATATTACTTTCATTATAATTCACTTACCAAGTTACACATTCAATCTTATCATTTGACAGTTCCTGCTTCTTAACACTTGGGTCAAACTCAAGTAATATTCTACCTCCAAACTTCATTGCAAAGAAAGGCTGAGTATGAGGGAAAACAAGTTAAAGGACAAGAATTAAAGAGCCCTCCCCCTGCTCAGCCAAAATAGTCAGTACAGTACCATGTTCCCCATTTCTTTTTTAAGATTTGTTTTCGGGCTTATTATGTCTTTATTCGTCAGGCCAGTGGATAGAGTAAGAAGTCAGGGAGAGAGAGAGTGGGAAATGACATGCAGGAAAGGAGACACAGGTCAAGCTCAAACATGGTCGCTACCTAACCACTAGGCCAACTGGCGCCCCAGCTCTTTCCTTTTCACTTGGCAAGAACTTGCCAGAAATTCCAAAAGTGACAACTAGACTGTATTTGAAGTGATTGAGATGAAAACAAGAGTTGAAGTTTTGATGAAAAACCACTGTGCTGCAGCTGACACTCAAAAACTGAATTTCAGTATTGATCCCTTGTTCATTGATCAGCTGTCCATCTGCAGACTGGCAAGCATTACCTGATTTCCAAGACGAGTAGAGGTCATTGTCCTCCATGGTACAACCATTTCCGCTCTCGAAACCCCCTTTGTCTGATTCTCCAGGATCCTTCTGTAAACACGGTGGCACAGTAAACATCACATGGAGTGTACACCGCCCTCTTATCTCACTTTATGACCTTAACAAGGTAAGATGCATGAAACAGCATATCTTGTGCAAGCACAAGAATTAGAGAAGTGAAGTTGTAGAAGTTACAGATACTGCATTGACTTCCTCAATGTGCGATCTGTGTATGATTGTGGGTACGGTTCACCCACAACATTCCCAAATGATGGCACCTCTACTGATAAGAAACTGAAAAGGGGAAAGTTGCACTGGTCAAGGTGAGAGGTGTGTGATACCTGGAAGGCCAGATGACAGAGGGCGCTTAGCCAGTCCTCGCTGGCAGTGGAGGCCAGAGTGTAGCTGCTTTGGATGGTGTTTAAGTAAAAGGCTGTGCAGCCCTGAGGGCAAGATTCCTTTGGAGCAGGTGAGACACTGAGGCAGTCACTTAAACGCACCACCTTTCTCTCTGGTGTTTTTTGCCAATAAGGCTTCTTCTGGTCAGTAACAGCAGTGTTGTCAAGTACAGAATAAAGCTCCACACGTCCGACCCCTGTGAAGCTGGGTTTAAAAAGCATCATCCATATTTTCCGCCATGTTCTCTGTTTTAGATGACAGAGGGGAGAGATGGGAAAAGTTCATTTTAATTAACCATTAATCATTGTTAACTGGAATGCTTCTTAAGTGTTGGATGACTTATGTTATTACATTACTGTGTCTATCTCTGATGTTACACAGATAACACCCCTCTTTACATGTCTGCCTCACAAAATGATCTGAGCCCAGCGGACACTGTGGATTCTTTAAGATCATTGATGAAGATGGTCAAACTTTTTCACAATTACCATACCAAAGGAGTCTTATTAAGGAAACACCAACCCTCTGAAAAGTACTTCTCTGCGACGTAGAACATGTAAAAAGCCTGTGTGTCTCTCAAATAAAATCTAGGTTATTGTACTATTGCCTCTTAGTTATAGAATCAATAATAAGATGCTTCTTTTTGATTCCAAATGTTTCTCAGGGATGACCTCAGTGATGCTGCATATAGTTAATTCACTGAGACTTTAGACTTTAGTCTTTTTTAATGGTAGTTTAATTGTGCTTGCACATCTCACTATGTATTGAAACTTTAATAAACTAGGTTATCATCATATTTGTATGAGTAATAATACTCCATAAATATTAAACAGTTCAACACTCTAAGGGGAAGAATTCCTGAGTGGAGTACCTTTAATTTTACTCTTGTACATTTTCTTGATCACAATTATTTAATATGAAGTTTTCAAGTAACATCTGAACTCTTACATACACTTGCACTATTTTTTACAGGAGGCTATGAGTACTTTTTTCTTTAAGTTAAGGATCTGTGCTCAAGTCAATAACCGTGAGCACTTCATTATTTTGAAAACAATACCACAAAATGACAGTTGCATCCTCGCTTGACTTCGAAAGTTACTATCACCGTTAAACCATTGGAACATTCTGGCAGAGAAAAGGTAAAAACTTTGAAAATGCATCTTTAAAAAATTAAAACTGCAAACTTCTTTCAGTCATTACCAATCGAATGCAGGGGTGGCAGATATAGTCAATAACAAGAGATTTAGACTGAGTAAGAACTAAAGCCTCCTTTTAGATTTGAAGAATTGAATTAGTATACAAAGTAGTCCCACAATCATCAGTGGACCGGTCGTGCTTCTTTTAACTCAGACGTGCATAAGTAAATATTGTCTCATAGACCACTGCCATTGTTACAAGAGTCAATGAATTTGAGAAATTGACATGAAACTTACTTTTCCAAACTTGACCCCCTGGAGGAACAGCATCCCCTCTTTGAATATAACCTCCATACTGCTCAGCTTTGTATGTGAATCTAGACGCTCAACAGAAGCTGCTTCGTGGTAAAAATGTAACAACCACAACCAAGATGATAAAATTAGACTTTCTATACCACAAGAACAAATGTTTCCTTGACGTCAACAGCAGATGTCATTTTGTTGTCCACTTGTGTGCGCCTTACAGGGCTAAAAGTGGCGGTATCTGATCTATAACCAGAATATTGCAAAAGAAAGGATATGCATGCTGTGTGTAGCTGTTCTTAAGTCAAACTTCCCTTTGCATTTTTCTGCTTGATTTGGCAACTTCCTCACCGTACAAGCTTGTACCACACCTTTTTTTATTTTTCCAGGAAGCCCCTCAGAGATCACAACAAATGTAGAAGTTTTATTTACAATTAGAGTATCAAAAGATATCTTACAAAGGCTACACATAAAGAGCACATTTGACATTTGGGGAAAGAAAGGGTAAACATACTTAAACCTGACAGATCTGAAAACTATGTTAGGTGATGATAAAAACAGACTTCCTTAGTTCAGTTAACCCACATAAAACTGTATTGTTTTCTCAGAAACCTTTCTCAGTTCCATTTTAAGTTTTTGAATCTTCCCTTTAATGTAAGTTCTTTAGAAGTCCATTGAGCTATGAGCCAGGTAGTCTTTCCGTCCGATGTTGGTGACCTGCTTTGTTTGCATGGCCTCCAACTTTGGACAGTCTGTGATACGATGACCCAGACCACCGCAGAACGTACAGCCCCTCTCTCCTGTGAGACACAAGATCAGGTGTGTTAGGAAGACACTCAAAGTCTGTGAATATTTATGATTCTATGAACAGATCAGGTTAGAGTAAACTTTAAGACAGAAACAATGAGTTATCATAGAGAAACCGATCCATGTAGAACATAAACACCTATTAATAAACATGTGAACTGTTGTGAACCATGACTCACCGCCGATGTCTAGCATGGTCTCGTCTCCTGTCTGGAGCACCTGGAGGACTGGAGGGACCTTCTGCTTGGCTTCCACCAACAGGGCTTTCAGGTCCATCAGCACTGACTCATCTATTGAGAAAAACACACTTCTTGTTACTTACTGTCATATTACTCGGAGTTAGGCTGACTAAATTCACTGCAATCCATTGCAAATATTTCAAGAATCACCCCTCTAATATAGAAATGTATTCATTTACTTGATCTGTATTGTTACTTACCACAGCCTTTATTAATGAACGTAGTGGCAATACCGGTCTTGCCTGATCGTCCAGTTCTTCCAATTCTGTGGACTGAATAAAAAAATCTGTTTTATTAAATCTGCTTGAGCAGCTTAATGAAACTGATAAAAACAGAATATACCATTCTGAAGACGGTGAGGCCAAATCCAGTATATAACAGGTAGTATAATAATTTTCAAATGGGGTACCAGTACTTGTAGGGTAACTTGAAAAGACTACAGGGGACGCTGGAATCTTTTTGATGTTAATTGAGAAAATATCAGGTCAGCAAAACCCCCGAAATACTAATAAAATCAAATACTATAACAAGTTCAATTTAAAAAAATCCAAAATTACATTTACATCAAAACTACTGTTTGTTTGTTATTTTAAAATGTTCATTTTGGGGCTTTTTATGCCTTTATTTAGAGATAGGACAGGGGATAGAGTCGGAAATCAGAGAAAGAGAGAAAGTAGGGAATGACATGCGAGAAAGGAGCCCCAGGACGGATTTGAACTTCGGATTTGTGGTTGAAATGTAGTAATACATCTGAAAATACTAGAGAGAAGTCAAAAGCCCACAAACTACAGTCAGTATCAGAGAAATACTTTACATTCAATTTTTGAAACCTCCCATTGATTTGTGCTTTCCTTGCAGGGACCTTGGATAAAGCCAGCACACACTGTGATGTGATTCAAGGTTTCAGTTTGTTGTTTATGCTGCAGCGCTGTATTATACCTCTCCCTCTAGTTTTTTTTTTCTACCAAAATTTTTTGAAGGGGACACTTGTCATAAATATGTTCCAAACAGGATAATATTATTATTACACTTGAAATGTAACCCTTATCCTCTTACCATAGTTTTCTATCTCCTCAGGCATGTCATAATTCACTACATGCTGTATAGCTGGGAAATCCAGACCCTTGGAGGCGACATCTGTGGCCACTAAGACATCTTTCTTTCCTTCTTTAAACGCCTCAATGGCTTTGGTTCTTTCCTCCTGATCTGAAAAATAAAATACATACAACAAATATTACATGAAATGGAGTGTTTGGTAAGACGATGACAAATGGAAAGCTCAAAGGAAGTGTCTGCAATACTGTCAGTGCCTTAGAAATGTTAAGCAAACTTTGCAGCAGAAATGGTAACACATGCCAGCAGTGTGGCATCTGGTGGTAATGAAGGGCAACTACAAGAAAGTTTCAGAGATAGAAGATCTGTGGGCTTCTGACATGCTCTGAACTGTTCACAATCATTTGCAGCATGCAGTACTGCTGTGCTCTAGCTAACGTGTATGTTATAGTGATTCTAAAGGGTTGTTTTACCTTTTCCTCCATGGATGGCCACCGCTTCTACTCCTTTAAGCAGCAGATACTCATGGATGGCATCTACGTCAGCCTTCTTCTCAGCAAATAACAAAACCTACCAATAAAAACAGACCATGTGAAAACATTTAACACGTTGTTTTTTTTGTTCATGTCATTGTTTAGGTATGAGGAAATACTGACAGGAGGTGGTGTTTTCTGGAGACACTCAAGTAGATAAACCATCTTTGCTTCCTCCTTGACATATTCCACTTCCTGCACACACACACACACACACACACACAAGTTATTTAGGATTTCGTTGAACCTTTTTTTTTTTTAATGAATGTGTTTTTATTCAATGCATTTTATTTCAAAGACTAAAACAGGAAAGCTCTTTCAGTTAGCATACCTGGATGACATCCAAACTGGCAGCACCGGCTCTGCCCACGTTGATGGTGATGGGTTTGACCAGAGCACTCTTCGCAAAGTTCTGGATCTTCTTGGGCATAGTGGCGCTGAAAAGCAGGGTTTGTCTTTGTCCCTGGGTAAAGAAACAACAAACGTAATTTCAAACGTTTTTTTGATGCTATGCCAATCTAAATCTACCAAGCTTAAGTTTCAGGATGAGTAAAATGGAGTCTCAGATGACTGAGGCCAGCAGCAGGAAGACGGACTAACTTGCCAACCATAGTGAAAGCTCAGAGGAATGAATCAGGAAATGTACGAAATAACTGTATGTTCTGTTACAGAAAGGCTTAGCAAAATTATTTTAAACACTGAGGCTTTGCAAACCAAGACAGTGAAAAAATGGGGGGAAACACATCGACTGCATAGATGATTGAGTTGTCTGTTGTTACTTGGCAGACACTTCTCACAGACAAGCAACTCACCTTGAAGTAAGAGAAGATGGTTCTGATGTCTTCCTCAAAGCCCATGTCAATCATCCTGTCGGCCTCATCCAGAGCCAAGTAGCGGCAGATGTCCAGACTCACCATCTTCTTCTGAAGTAAGTCCATCAATCTGCCGGGGGTCGCGACCATCATGTGGACACCACTGTTACCAGGAGGAGACACAGACACAGATGGGTCTATTTGCTGCCTTTGTTTTTAAAATACAGAATATTCTTGAAATGTTTGTACCAGGAATGCTTCCTGAAAAAGACTATGAACGATTAACAATTGCCTGTTTTGTTCCCCTCTGAATGATTTCATGCAGTTGAATCAGTTATTTTGTTCCTTACACTGGTTCACACTGAAGTTTTGAATATGGCAAACACCAATTATCTTACTGTTTAACGACTTCCATCTGCTCCTTGACAGACATTCCTCCGATGCAGAGGGCAGTTCTCAGCTGAGGAGCTCCTTCCTCCTCCAGCAGCTTGCAGTAGTACTCGATGATGCTGTGAGTCTGCCTCGCCAACTCTCGCTGGAGTAAAGTGGAAAGTATTCAAATCAGATATGCTAAAATCAAGATTTCTCAAAGAAATCACAATCTGTCTAAAGTGCATCAAGTACAGAAAAAAGCTTTATGATAAAACATTTTCAATAGCATTTGAAATTATGATAGTTTTTAAGGACTTGCAGTATTTGCATATGTAGTTTGATTTAAACGCAGTGTGTCTGATTTATTTGTATTTTGGTAATCTATTACAATCCGAATGCTGTATTTTCTTAATCACAGACCAGACTTCATACAGAATTTATATCTGTGTTTTTTTTTAATGCAATAGGTTTGTCTTACCGAAGGACAGATGATGAGTCCATAAGGTCCCTCTCTCTTAAAGAAAGGCAGCCTTTTCTCTTGCTCCAGAGAAAACATGATGATGGGCAGAGTGAAGACCAAAGTCTTTCCTGAACCGGTGAAGGCTATGCCGATCATGTCTCGACCTGACAGACTGCAGAGCAACAATGTAAATACACACTCGACACGTACTTAAAAAATGTTGCTGTTTTATTGAATATGTACTTACACTGTTGGGATTCCTTGAATCTGAATAGGTGTGGGATGCACGATGCCCTTCTTTTTCAAACCTTTAAGAATTGCTGCAAATTTGATCCAAGTTAATTGTTTTTTTTAATCTTGTGGAGCCGCTTAGAGAAACAAAATGTGCTCTTATGTGTGTGAGAGGGAATGTGTTATACCTGGTGGAAGCTTCATCTCTCTGAAGCTCTTGATTGGAGGAGGGATGCCGTCTCCATCGACCAGGATGTGAAACTTCTTCCTTACACGCTCATTTCGGGTGTCCGGCATATTCAGGATGTAACGTGGTGCCTTCCAGCTGTGAAGAACATTCAGAACAAATGAATAGTAAAAAAACAACAACTCAAAACAGGACTATACATCATTTTCAGATCAAGAACTGACCTTGTTTTTATTGGATCATCATATATGATACCTTTGGCCATTTCCTTCACAGACATCAGAGCTAAAAAAAGGAAAAGTCAAAATTATTCTTGCAAGCTTTAAATGCTTTGCACTCATTACTTTTAATGTCTACAAGTTTATAAAAGGTAGATATGTTTCAAAATTCAACACAGGACCTTGCCAGTAAATGACTTATAGTTGTACCTCTGCCCTCTGCAACACTCTCGAGAATCTTTTCTTCCTCTTTCAGCTGCTTCTCCTTGGCGGACTCTTTGCGAGCTGTAGATACAAAAGGTAAATATCAACCAAACAGTATAGAAAATGTATACAGTATGAAGATGTAAATACAGTCAAAAGAATTGAACAGGCAAAGTGTATCATCCAGTTTGGGTGGAGTTACAACGGAATACCTTCTGCTTTCTCCTTGAGGTGCTGATGCTGGTCAAGCAGACTGACATTGGAGCGTGGACCAAGACCCTCGTCCTCATCCCTCTGCTCCTCCCCACTGTCCTTCTGCTCCTCGTCCACAGCCTTCCCTCGTAGACGCAACATCTTCTGTAGCTGTTGGATACACATACTTGTTACATGAATAGTACTCATATATAGAAGTATAGCAGGTAGTAATCTTTTACTTGTAAAAATTGTACATTTTACAGTAACTTCTGGTAACTCTAAAAAAAAATCTTAAAACACAACATGATATGACACTGAAGAAGAAAGGTTACATCTGTGATCTTATCAACAGGGTCTTGGCTGCAATAAATAACTAGTTGATCAAACTGGTGCACCATCACTAAATGATTAAATGTTAAACAGAAAAGTCTACAAAACATACCATCTTCTGCTTTCTGATTTTGACTGGAACATAGGGAACATAGTCATCATCCTCTGATCCTTCTGAGCCAGACTTCTCATCCTCGCCGTGGGATCTCTGTAAACACACGACCCATACCAGCACGGTTACTTCTTTGGAGAGAGGTTGGAGCTTCTTCACTTCAGACACGTCCAGTGCACATTCTTTACAAGTCAGTATAAACGTATAGCACAGCAGGTAGAAATAAACATCTTCTCTTGTTATTTCATGGAGTTTCATGTGCAGCTCGTTCATGCAAAGGTACCAGAGATGACCACAATAGTATTTCATACAGTGATAGGATGTTATAGCCCTTCATATACAGTACCAGTCATATGCTGAGATACAACATTTTATTTTATATATATATATATATATAAAAACAGGCTGCCAATTTCACTTACATCAAATGTAAATATTATATGCAACTGCTTGATAAACCCTCTTTCAACAGGCTGCCTATCATGTAAACTACAAAATGAGTTAAAGGGACTGCATTACGTTTTTGTCTTCCTTTAATCTAATAAGCAAAAACATCATTGGGTCAAAGTTGTAGGAGCACACAAACCTCATATAATCACTTCTATATTTAAGTTCAGTACTACTGTAGGTTATAACCTTCATAGTTTATCTGCATCTTTTGTCTCTTTCAAATTAAAACGTCACGATTACGTTATGTTGTGGCTCTGCATTGCTCGTGAAGTTACATACACTGCTAATTTAATAAATCAAATCATTCAGAAACAAAAGTAAAGTATCGCATTCTTGCAAACTAAATTCGTTAGTTCGTTCATAATTTGGGATTAAGGAGCCAAATGCCTGACTAGCTAACTAGCTATCTTTAGCTAACCTCGGCTAGCTAGTGTGTCGATATCTAGTATCTCGATGTGCGCGCTTAACTTACCTTTTTGGGTCGATTTTCGAGTTCCATTTTCTTGTATAACTACAAGGGGATTCCCTGTTTTCCTATCGAACAGATTGAGCACCAAATACCAGGCAAGCAGTTCATAAAATAGGTCTAGTAATCCACATGTTTACACTACACAGGAAGCTTTGCTGATGTACGGAACGCCGGAAGGGTCCAACCTCAGTGCGACGCTACGTCTCGACATTTTAAGGCGATTTTTGTTGGAAGGGGCCGGTCGTCGTCGTCGTCGTTTTTTTTTATATCGTGGACACCAAAGCATAAACTTAGAAAGCAAACACCACACTTTATTTTTGTCAAAACTGTATTGTTTTTAATCTTTCTGAATGAAAGATTTTTCACAGTATCAAAAGTGAATTTAAAAAAATGAAACAAGCCAACATACACTTGGCTATTATTGATATAGTATAAATCTACATTCGAAACATTAAGATAATCTTCTCTAAGTGAATATAACCTGGAAAGCATCAAAAATGTTATATGAAAACAAAATCTTAGCACAGATTCAAGAAAGAAATTATCCTTATGAATGGAAGCCATTAGCTAAACATGGTGGTGAAATAGGCCGTGGTCTCGAAGGCATCAACTCTTCAGTTTTTATTCCCCATCAAAATGTTGTCAAGACGTGGACTTGTGATTGGCTAGCTGAAGTACAATATGCCACCAAGGTTACAGTACAGGAAAAAGAGTAGTATGGTGGAAAATATATTCCACACCACAACCCTCAGAAACCAATGACAAAGGCTCAAAAGGGCCCAAAATAATCATTCAATATGTACAAGTAATGAAAATAACTGTGTTGAACAACTTGTGATGATTTCAACAATTAAAATGAACTTTGCACACTGGTGTACCTGTAGGGGTTAAAAGAACAGTTTTAAGAGTATGAAAATTGTGGTAAAGGACCTTCGTCTATGGATGACAGAGTGACTATCTCTTTAAAAGAGATAACTATTCAAGATTAACGCCAAAGGAAGATTTGAAATTGAAGATACTGACATTTAATTTTGCCTAACACAGGACTGGGGGGGACAAGATTAAGATTTGTTTTTGCTCTACACAACATGCATGGGGACATGTTTGAAGGATAATTAATTGAATGTATGTATGTTTTTAAATGCATCTTGTGAGCTAAGTGTTTGACACAGTTAACAATTATTCTTCCACACGTTTCTCTAAGTGTTGTGGGTGTGCAGAAAACTGTGAAAATACCGGTTTTATTAACTGCATTGCATTATTTTCCAAGACCAGTGTGGCAGCTCCAACAAGTTTTTCTTTCTTGAGTGTCCTTTCATAAATTACCAACTCATTAATGATCAATGAGTTGAATATTGAGAAAAATATTCCAATTAAATATTATCAACAACCAACAAATGCACTACAGTGCACTTGTTAGTAAAATCAATGCAATAGTCGCCATGATTACTACCTGCAGAGGAGTGTTTTCCCATAATAATGGGTTAAAAATATTTGTTTTGTTTTTTACACTTTTACAAGATAAATGATCTGTAGTGTTTACCAAGACTGCTGTTGTGGCCGGTAAACTAGCAGTGCAGAATATATAATGGATGTTGTGCATCAAATTTAACTGATAGGAATTCAGAAGTTTAACAATGTTAAAATGTCTCAGATTTGTGATAAAAACATTTATTTCATGTAAGGTAATTGTTTACATACTACATAAGCACATGGATGCAGAGGATTCAACATACTTCTTTTTCCATTTTTGCATCTCATTTAGTGAACATTGCAATAATAGCAAAGGGTAGAGTTGGCCTTGAGAATGATCCCCGGCCTGTCAGCCACAAGTTATGTTTCAGTCTTCTGAATGGAGAGTATGAATTTGAACCAGGGTCCCTTGGCTTAGTAAGGAAGAGAAGAAACAGGGAATGAGAGAAGGCCTCAGGCCTAATAGGGCTCTACTGAAAGAGTTTGTGTTTTTTTTCCCGGCACTCATCCAAGTTATTGAGCTGCATTGGAAGGAACCTTTTTGAGGCTGAAGTTGGACCAATTCACTGCTACCTTCTGGCGAGTTTGTTTCGCAGAATCAAGGCAAAACCTAAAGTGAAAATAGACAGACAAAAAAACAGAAGACAAGAAAATGCTCAGTTTTAGATATGTGATTGATGTAAATCAATACAAGAGTTTAGTTAAACAGCTATAGAGCCTACCTTTTGAAGTATTCCACTTCCCGATCAATCTCATCCATTTCTGTAGGATCGACATCTTTAGGGAGAAATACATCGTCTAGGGAAACAATAGAGGTTTAACATTAGCTTAATATATAACAAATGTAGAGAGAGGTCAAATGTGTGTAAGATGTTGCAGCTAGTTTATAGTACCGATAGCACTGCTGGATTTTTCCCCCTTGTTCTTGTTCTTCTTATTCTTCCCCTTGGCCTGCTGCTGTTGCTGCCCGTTAGCTGTGATGGTGGGGTGAGCCTTGTTTTCGGAATCCTGCTCAGACCGACTTCCTCGTGTTTCTGTTTCACCTTTCCCCCTTTGTGCATTCAAGAGGCTACCATTTGCTCCGTTTGCTGGATGTTTGGTCGATCTACTCTCCTCAGCTTTCTTGGGCCCATTTCTCTGGCTGTCTGCAGAGTGCTGAAGCTGTTTGTTCCCAGCTTTTGAGCCATTAGAGACCATTTCCTTAGACTCATTGGTTTTCTGTGTTTCATTCCCAGAGGCAGCTTTGGTTGGTTTGTTGGAATTTTGCTCTGACACAGACTGATCTTGCCTTTGCTGCTGCTTTTTATTCTTCTTTGACTTTGCACCAACATTCCCAACACCTGCGTTCTTGGGATCGGGGGTATCCTCTTTCGATTTAGCTGTAGCCTGGGCAGGCACCTGCGGCAAACTATCGGATCCAGTTGAAGTGCATCTTTCTGGTGATCGAACCCTAATGAGCTTTGAGAGGCTTGGGGTAGTGTGCAACCGCTGGATGTCCTTGGACCCAGCAGGGACCCCTGATGGTGTGTTGGTGTTGTTAGAGGGGGAAACAGTAGTTGTGTCATCCCATCCGTTCACCAGGTCCAGATGGCTCTTAAAGGTTCCCAGTGAAAGAGGGGCCAGGTCCAGGTCTATCTGCTGCAGGTCCGAGGAACCATTGAGATGGGACAGTAAATGGTTGCCCTCCAACGTGGCGGCTTTCTTTGGGAAGTCATTGACATCCAGGTTGAGGTCGTACATACTAAACGAGGCCCGGATTGAGTCTTTGATGGTGTTCTTTATCTCTTCGAGCCGACTGGTGAGGAAACTGTTGACACGCTCAAGCTCCAGCTGTGGCCAGTCAAGCAATCGACTGGCTTCTGAGCCATCAGGGAGGGGCTCGTCTGCAGGCTCAGAAGGATTGGAGTTGGGGTCACTGCCTGCAGCACCCTGCTGAGCTTTTTCCTGAAACAGAAAAGGAACAGGTTTGAGAGTATGAAGAGTATGCACATGTAAATTGCATCGCTTTTGAGATAATAAATGTTAACTACAACCACAGCCATTATATTACATTGTTATTTTCTCTCTGAATAGCTCTTTGTATAAGTGGCAGAGTCTGCCATGCCAACAAAGAATTCAAGTAATGAAATACAGTCAAACAGTTTGTTATGTATATCATTGATCTACTTTTTACTGTCCACTGTTATTGCCATTAAAGCTGGAGTTGCTTGGAACAAAATCAAAGGGATTTTAACTTTAGATGTATTTTTTGACCAGTGTCCTCTATTTTAGGCGAGCTCTCATAAAGTTATGAAGTGTTACGACAAGAAATTCAAAACATTTACCACTTTACAGAACATTGGTTCATTTCCTTAAAGGGAAATTTCAACTGCTGAAACATGAATTTGTATTGAAATTGACATTTGTTTTTTTCTGAGAAAAGGCATAAAGTGTATTTTTGGCTCATGTGGATGAAAGACAACAACTCCCAGAATGCACAGTTCCGCCCAAGCTCGAGTCGGCACGGGCTCCTTGTCCTCACCGCCGCCGACAGGCAGGTCTTATGCCTCGGCTGCAGCGTCGCTATATTGCGTTAACCAAAGCAGCTTCCAAAGACACAAAATAACGATTTTTTTGCGAGCTTTTCCCATCTCAGGGGAAAATGAGGGCGGGATGCACGACCATTCAAAAATACTACCAGGTTTGTAATGATACAAAGCTTAATGCAAATGGGTGAAGTGTCCCTTTAAGTTAGGTTACAGGTAATATTCAAAATTTGCCACACCTTCTTCTTCTGTTTGTGCCGTGCTCTTTTTGCCGCCTTGGCACTGTTTACAGGTTTGGGCTCAGAACTGTTTATGAAATCTAGCAGCTCGTCCACATCTCGGTTGTCGATGGCCCCCGTCGCTGTCAGGTCTGAGTCCTGTCGCTGAGGCAGCTCCTCTTTACGCCGGGTCAGACGTGAGCGGAGCTTCTCTCGGATCTCTGCGTAGTTCCGGCTCGTTGGTGCAGCTGGAGGCTGAAGCCAAATAATAAATTACGATATATTTTAATATTGTCAGTTACTCATAAATGTTGTACAGGTATAGTGACAATGGGAGTTTTTAATTACTATTTGAAAGACAATAAAAAAGCTTCAATGTACCGCATTGTGTCCAAAGAACTCGCAGTAGCAGCAGTCGCAGTACTTCCCATCCTTCTGGTTTGTAGAAGATGAGGCACAGGAGCTCCTCTCAGAGCTGCTGTCTTCATCTTCCCCCTCCTCCAGCTCAGAAGAAGGGTGGCACAATGTGCCATTAGTCATTTTGTGACCCTTGCATGCCTGGTCCCTATAAAAGGAAATAATTAATACAAGCCCTTATTTGGGATTCACATCTTGAATAAATATAGCTCAGAGGCCGTTTCTAAGTTTCCCATACCCATTAATAAACAGATGTAAACAAAGTAATACTAACCTGCAGGCCCCAGCTGTAAGATGGCCTACATTTGAAGTGGGCACTGTTCCCGCGCTGTGTCCGTTACATGGGTGGTTACAGCCCATGATAGACGAGCCCAGTTTGCTGTGTTGTGTGTTCACAGCAGGAATGTGGGAGTTTTTGCATGGGCTGGGCTTGTGGACAGATGTCGGGCTGTCTGGGCTGGGAGAATTGAGTTTGGCTGTGGGGCCATGGAGGTTTGGTACCAGCGGGGAGAAGGGTGCGTGGGCTGCCACACCTGGACCAGATGAGGAGGTTACATGACCGT